GGCGACCTTAGCGGCTCTGCGCTGCATCTGACGCTTCGATTCCAGCAAAGAGCTCCACTGTGCCAGGCTTTTGGACAATAGGCGCTTGGCGAAAAACGCGTCAGCCTCGGCAGCATCAGCTTCATGAAGATTATGCCTTCGCCGCCATTTCGACCACACGTTCCTCGTAGCTGCGCGCCGCGAGCGAGCCTGGACCTGCTCTGCTTTCGGTTCGAGCAACGCCGCAAAATGCGACTTCCGGTCCTTCCAACCCTTGAAAGCGGTAGCAACTGTCCTAGAACTGCGGACTCTGCGCACAAGCACAAGGCGCTCTTCCAGCATCCACTGCGTCAACACGCGATGTTGCAGGCGCTCTTCTCGTATGACAAGAAAACTAGAGGCGATATCCTGCATGTCCGCAAGCTTTTGATACTTGTTCTGCCAGCGGCTGATGGTCTGACGCTTCTTCCGTCTGACTCGCCAGCGATCGGCGAGCGACTCTCTGCGCTTTTGATCTGCGCGCTCGCTTGTCGCTGTTTGCCAAGCTTTGAAAGCGCCTCTTTTGACTCGCAGCGCGAGGAAGTTGGTTGCCAAAACATTCAATTCACTGTCGTGAGATGAGATAAAGCAGAAGTGAGACTCTTGAAGCGCTGACGACCTCTCAGACGTTGTCAATGACCACTCACCCCTGTTTGCGCCAAGCCTCAAATGCGCTCCGGACCAAGCGGTCATCTAACCTTTGCGATGCTTCGGCCTCTGCTCGCCTCAAAGCCAAGCGCTTCTGCCACGAGTGCAAGGAGTCTGCAAGCCGATTGCGCATCATCGTCTGGGACATCTCGTTTTCGACAGCCTTCAGGCGGCGTGATCGCGCTAGGGCGAGGTTCCACATTGAATATGCTCCGCGGACTAAATGCTCCTCTCGCAGTCTTCCAGCAAAGCGATGCAGGAAGCGCGAGCGCCACTCCTGCGTGTGATCACGTCAATTAGAATGATGCTTTCTGCTGCAAAGCACACCCGCAAGACTCACCTCCCATGCTCTCCATTTCGCCCTGTGGTCGCGTTTCGACGTGACTGCGTCCCAGGCAGATTTGAGCTCGGCAACGCGGGCCTCCTTGCGATGCTCCTTACGAAGCGCACACGTTTTCCTCCATACTCTCCAAGCGCCTAGAAGGCATCTCACCTTGTCCACGCCGCCTGCGGCGTTCAATGCCTGCTCTTTGGCCTGGCGACGCTTGACCCAATACCTCAGCGCCTTGGACAAGATGATTTGACCATGAGCTCGATCTACGCGGCCTGCGTTGGCCTCTAATCGCTGAAAGCGTTGCCTCCACCAGTCGAGTGCAGGCCGCAGGATCTTTCGTCGATCATGCTCTTCAGCCAGCCGTGTTGCTGGCGCGTGAGCTAGCTCCTCCGCCAAAGCTACTCGCTCGGCTTCAGCTGCTGCAAGAGCTGCCCGCTCCTCGCGAGACCGGGCGATCACCGCAGCGAAACGTCTTTGCACTTCGTTCTGTGCTGATGTCCGCGCAGGTGTGTCGCGCCTCTCCTGAGGTCCACGAGAAGCCGATCGATCGGTGTCCGATGGTTGGGCGCGTGGTCGGTTCGACGGTTCGACGCCAGTGAGACCTTCTTTGCTGGGGTGCATCGCACGAATGGGCCGTTGCAGGTCTGGGGAGTCCGACTCGGAGCAATTTGGCGGTGTTCCGGAATATTGACGAAGCTTACGGGGCACTGATTGCTGAGCAGGGATAGCCTTTTGGCGTTCCGACATGGCATACGTCGCTGAAGGCGCAAGTGTGGAAGAATCGCTAGCAGTGTCTACATAAGCTCCCTTATCCTGCCCGTGCGGTCTGTGACCATCATCGCCATCCTGAGATCGTCCCGCTTGCCGAGAGAGCGTTCGCGCCTGCGCAGCTAGAGACTGTAGCTTCGATGGCTGGCTTTGCTGCTGCCGGGCGTCTGGGTGTCGCGCTGCGTGCCTATGGCCAGGATTTCTGTGGATGTTGGTATGAGCAGCTTGAAGTCTCCAGCGCTCCAATTCATCAGCACTTCCTCCCGTCGTGACGTCTTCCTCGCTGCTCTCGCTTGCGTCCTCTGACCTCAGCGTCGCATCCTCACCGCTGCCCGTCGAGCGAGGTTCCAGTCCAAGCGCCATGCGCACAGCATCCCACCTACTGGACCAATCGCGACCTCTCACTTGGAGCAGACAAAGCGTCTTGTCCCACAGGAATGCGTCCTTCTCCTCATTGCAAGGGCTTGGCAGTGGGAGAGCTCTGACGGCATTGTAGGCCTTCTTTAGAGAGGCAAAATCGGACGCTCCGCCATGCAGGTGGGTGATGACTGCGTCAAAAAAGGCGATGTCGGCGGTGCTGAGCGTGCCAAAGGTGGCCGAGACGGGCTGTCGAGAGGATGAGGAGGCAGAAGAGATGGAGGATGCATTGGCGCGCACAGACAGCAAAGAAGAGTTGAGCTGTGCCACACGATGGGCCAAGAGGGGCGTGCGAGTGTCGTGCACATCCCGTCGCAATCCTGCTGGACGAGAAGCGTCTGATGGCAGAGCCATCTCGAAGTGGCCTACACTGTCGCGATTCGAACGTCAAAGTGACATCTTGCTAGCATGCCGTCGTCCAACACGTTCACACTGACGATGCTCGACGCGAAGTCAGACTCTGTTGATTGGTCGGATCGGTGATCATGGTGGACTTTAGGCGCCCAATAATGGCAGCATTGGCAGAACAACGATCGTGACTTGACTTCAATTAAGAGCATAACATGCATGATGATCAGCTGTCGAAGGACTGGCTGGCCTTCGCGTCCACACGCGTCTCGGGCGCGGGCGCGGGCGCGGGCGCCCTTCGTGAACCTCTCTCTGGTCTTCCCGTTTACGAACGGCGACCACGTGACAAGAATCGCCCGATGAAAGAGTCTGAGTCAAGAGTCTGCGT